CTAAATATATGCAAAAGACATAAAACTATGCAGAAGTTTTAGTTTCTTGAGGTATCTCAGGAAAGAAGCTCCCTTTGCAAGGCACATCTGTGAAGTGGAGCTGTCTTCTTTGTGTGGGGGTTTAATGATAAGGAACTTTGCTTTGCCAGGTAGGGGTACTCTCCTTGTTAACCATTGTGTAGGTATTACTTTTCTGGAGTTACTGGGTGCTGTTCACGGCACAGTGTTCTACCTTGGCTTGGACTATTTCACACAGGTATTGTGATAATGACTATCACACCAGATTACTGGTGCTTCTAAAGTAGAATCTAATCTTTTTCCAAGGCCCTTTTTAAAGGCTGTTGGTTAGCTCAGGTGATAGCTTGCTGAACACTGCAGTCCAGTTAGAGTAAGCAAAGGGAGATGCTTGCATCCAGAGTCATGCAGGATGAAGCACTGTGGTTTTATTGGGGGTTTCATGTTGCAGAGACAAAATAGGAGCAGGCACATGAAATTATGCATCCTCTTTTTCATTACTCCAACACCAAGCACTAGGTGGATACCAGCACTTAAATATTTCAGCTGAACATCTGCAAAGAATAATTTAAAGCTTGTTATGAAGACATACCTTACATCCATTGTAAAGATAGAGGGCATCAATCATAAATCACCACTTTGCCATATCAAACTCTGCAGATAAGGCTAGAATTTGGAAAAAGCAAAATAAAATCGCAGTTTTAAGAAAATCTGTAGTCTTTGTCTCACTTCTCCCAAGGGCTGTGGTTTGTCAGCCTACAATGCAAAGTGCTGCTGGGTACTGTTTTATGCCTACCACAAACTCCTGTACCTGGCACAATCTGAAATGGTCTTTAAATGGCCACATCAGCCAGGTCCTTACATCATTTTTGCCTTCCTGTCCAATGCTAGATCACAACATGGGATCAAAATCCACAATTAGGCTGAATTTTCAACTTAGGTGACTGCTGCACGTGGTAGAATATTTCTCTGCAATGGTTGCAGTGAGAAGAAAACATCCCTAGGGCTGATGTAGTCTCATAACCCAGCAAACAGAGGCTAATTGTCACTGCTAGTAACAGGCCTCAGGACTGGGGCTTGTCAGATCTGCTTTGTCTGAACTTGCCTTAACCTGCCTCGGGCTGTCCCTTGTTTGTTTAGCTGTGAAAGCAATTTTTCTGATGACAAGGAAATTCAAGTTTATTTGTAGGATTTAAAGGCCAGTGATGAAAAACAAGATATAACTTTGTGGCTCTCATAAAAATGCCCCTAAAGTAGCAAAAAATAAGGACAAAGAAACAACATGAACATCATGCTCACCCTACAAAGGACCTGGGATGCTGACAGCTGGCAGTATGTCCTCACTGTAGCTACTGACCCAGGGGATCAGAGCAGGTGTCAATAAACATCAAAATAAAGGGTAGGTGCATCAAATAACTTTAGCTTTTTCTGGTTTTCCATTAGTAGCATAGTAATATTCTTTTCTGTTCTCTCTTCTTGTCTCATCTCTAGATGGATCTAAATTAACAACAATTAATATATTAGACTATTAAAACTTGTTACACTAACAATAAATTCTCAACTTTACATCCATGGCTCCCAACAGCTTTTGAGTGCAAGACTAATTCAGGCAGAAGTGACCTGCTGGACAAGACAGTGCTGCAGAAGCATCTGTGGGACACCAGCACCGTGCCCAAGGACTGCTGTCATTTGGAAAACTCACCTGCTCCACATGAAGGGCTCCAGCAGCACACTGGCTTTGTGTCAGCCTAGAACACCTGTAACAGGGCACAGTCCCATTATTCATCTTGCAGAGCTAAGGAAGTGATCCTGTTAACATCCTTGGTCATGCACCTTCCTCGTTTCCTGATGAGGCCTTGCAGATGTTTTTTTTTTTTTTTAAATTTATTTAGAAGAACAGATAAATATTGTGCCAAAGATGTCAAGCACAGAACCTTGGAAAGCATCCAGATAAGCAGCATGGAGGAACCAGAGTTGGAAGGTTTCAATGGCTACTTCAATAAATTAGTAAATAATATGGAAAATGGGCTTTCTTGATTCTCAGGTATCGATCTCCAGCTTTTAAAATGCAACAGGAGAGGCTCGTGGGGGCAAAGTTAAGCTAGTCCCTCAGTGATGCAATGTAAAAAGGGATAATTCATGGAATCAGGTGGTAGGGTCATGAACCTGCCTTTGTGAATATGACAGTTAGTCACTGTGTTGAAAACATTTGCCTCGAGGGAAAGGGAAATGTTTGTATTGCAAGATACTGTAAGGTGAACAAATTTGAATTACCTCGGAGTAATGTCTCTGTATAGACATAGCCCTAGAGTACACACCCCTTCAGCTTGACCTGCTTCAGTATAGGTCAAGCACATAATAAATAATGGCAATGGAATTCCCAGTGACATTACTGTGAAGTCACCACATGCTTAGCAGTGAAAGGGGACACATCTTCCTGAAAAGCAGTGTTAAACATGCCTCTTCAGAAATGCAAATTCTCTGCCTGCACTCTTTCAGCCAGTATTCAAGAAAGCATGGAGGCAGACATGCAAATCTGTTGGTCATTATTCTGCTTAGTGAGCTCCAAATCTATTATTAGTCTTCTATGCACATACGAAACCATATTTAAATCTTATTTAAATGGATGTTTGTCTAAAATGACTCTGCAAAGCCAGTGCTGTAACATCATATGTAATGGCAGAGAGGTTGTTATTCAGTTCATGTGATGTGAGAGCACAGAAAATATCCAAACCTGTTAAAATCATCCTTCTATATAAAATTTTATACAAAATTACTAGCAAGCGTTAAGAAAAAAAATTGCTTAGAAGATGTTTGGCCCATTAATTGCATAAGAAGAAAGAAATCAGTGAAGTGTTTGGACGTTATAGAGAAAAAACTGGTATACTGAATTAATTTACCATATTTTTCATGTGTTTCTTTATAAATATTTTTACACAAAGAAAGTATATAAATACAAAGGTAAAATATTTTTGTTTGAAATCTACATGCTATCTGATAAATTTTCAATGTAAGTGCTAAAAAAATTAAGTGGTCAAAAGCATGATTAACACACGTTTTATAAAGACAATGTAACAAGAGGTATGCAACAGACTGTATTCCATTCCACAATGCACACTGCTTGTTTAGCACAGTGCTGAAAAGCTGCATCCCTTTATGTTTGTTAATGAATCCATTTCTGGTGAATGTGCAGGCAAACAATAAAAAGGCATTGGCAAACTGGAGGCTATTTTAACCACATATACACAATGGCTATGTAGTTACACAGAATGGTAACACAGAAGTAAACATGGAAGTGAAACAATTTCAAATGTCACTTTGTTTTTACAAAATGTCAAGTTCCCTAAGTTGTAGAAAAGGGAAGCCCACATAAAAACCAAAATGCCAACACTGTTCCAACAGCAGTGAAACCAGTAAACCTGCTGGTAAGAACCAAGATACCAAAACTCCAAAAGAAATGATGACTGAACTTTGTGAAATGTCTATGCACTTTCCATGATCATTTTAGTAACATTACTTCAGGTTATAAGAATGGATGGAGTATGAAAATACAATGCAAACAATACAAATCAGATATCATTAAATGCATTTATAGAGACGTCCATCAATCTCTGCATTCCAAAATGCTGTAAGCATTCAGTGTCAAGGAGGACACTGAGACCTGCATTGTGGGGCTGATGGTGAGTGAAAAAAGAAATTATGTCTTTTCAAAATAGCATATGAATGAGTTCTGACGGGTAATGAATTAAGCATAAACCTTTGACCAGTGTTCTCTGCCTTGAACTCATTTTCAAAATTGTCTGCTCAGTGGTAAGCATCCCCTATGAAGAGAGGTGTTGAATATTTGGGAAATCAAAGTTCTTAAAACTTAACAGGGAATAATGACCCAAATAACACCCTGCCATTATGAAGAAAATTATCAAAACTTAGTACTTAGAGTGCCACTGCAGAGACAAGTGCTCTGGATACATCTAACTAGAGATGTTGATTTCCACTCTTAGTCCTCAAAACACTTTTGCTGTAGAGATTTTTTTTCTCCTTTGACATTTATTTTTGAAACCTACTCAAGAAAATGTCCAGAATTTCTATTCTCATCTGGAAAATCTAGATTTTGTTTAGACAGACTCCTAGAAACTGTTGTTTCTCATGTGTCATAATGAAATTGCAAAATGGAAGATGAATTTGTCACAGTAGATTTATTTCAAGCAGAGATCAGCTGTATTTTGATCTCACCTGATCAGAACACCTTTCCTGTTCAGATTTGTTTTCCCTTGCAGGCATCTAAGAGAAGTCCAAATGTTATTCTAAATCTACATAGACTTCTGTTGTAATCCTCATTTATACAAAACACTAATGCAGATCTTGGATTTCTATTATTAAAATATCCATGTACTTGATAGTCTTAGAATCTCCCTAAACATTTTGAAACAATGATCACTGTTTTTCAACAGTTTAAGGCTGTCAGCATGCTTTGAGTTGGGGACAGATGTGATCCTGAAAGCAAGATTATGCCACTAAAGTTCAAGGACAGATTAAGAATATGTCTACATGTGGCTTTCCAGGTCAGATTTCTCCACACACAACTGTATATTGCCACTCTGACCTATTTTAGGGGATGAAAACTGCCATGTCATGCCATTCTGAAAGAGAAGCTAAGCAGCGTGCATGAAATCAGAAGTGAAAGAGGGGACTGCATAATTTTTCCTTGCCTCCAACAATTTTGTTTTGATCTGAAAAATACCATGGCTACAAAGAAACCAGCTGCATAAATAAGGATAAAACTAAGGCTGGTTAAAAATTTGTTCAGTTTGAGAAATCTTCTGATAAAATTATTATATTATAATATTGCTCTTCCTCTAAGAGCTTTTATAATGAGCTTGTCAGTAAATGAGCTTATAAGGGAGGCTGAAATGGAACAAAGGAATAGCTATATAGTTGGCATCTGTGGACTATACCTACTTTTTATCTGCCCCTGAGAGAACATCTCCCTTCCACCAGCCCAGCAAGCATTTATTTAAGAACAGAACATGTATCTATTAAGTTTAAAAGAAGAGAAATACATATATTCATAATTCTTCTTTAGACATTAATTTTAAAATCCCTAATTTGTTCAGTTAATCACTCTGCTTTCTCAACTGTTGGTAAAACAGGGGCCACAAGCCACTTTAACATTCAGTTTCTGTGGATGCATTTTCTTGCCTGGTTTTCTGTTCTTCTGTTGCACTGCCAAATGCTACCACCAAATTAGTTACACTGCTGGCATGTCCTGGTCTATTTAATTTGTCCTTCACAGACTTGGCTTTCCGGGAATGGCTGTGCAAACTCTTGGAGCGTACTGATGGGAACCCAGGAGTCCTTTCTGGCTTTGCTGACAGGAAATTCTCCTTCTCAGCCTTGACAGGGGCAGGCATAGAGGTGTAAGAGGCACTCATACCTGCTTCACCAACATTACTATCATCATCTGTGTCCATCTGCTTCTCTTCTGCTTGCCTTTCTGCTTCAGAGATCAACCCAGGGTACTCTGGAGGACGCTCTTGAGAAAGCTGCTGCTCAACTTCATATTTCCACTCTGTGGCCCACTGTTCAATTGTAGAAGGGCACACCTGATCCATAATGGTACTGTACTCCGAGGTCCAGTTGTTAACTCCTCCAACCAGCTTTCCACCTTGTGCAAAAATAAAGCTCCTTGACTTCATCATAGTGGTTTGACAAGCACTGAAAGTTTCAGGAGGAAAATAGCGCATTGCTTTGGATTTGTCCAAGGGATAAGAGATGGTTGCTTCTAACTTGGTACGTTCTACTTTTAACTGAGCGTTCTGAAAATCTGGTCCTGCTACTGACTGACTGTTCGTAACAGCATTCATCTGGTTTACACTTTGAGGAATCATTCCATCACTACTGAAAACCCCCTGCTTTTCACTCCCCAAACTGCCTGAATCAGAATGGGGTCTGGAAACATTCTGTGCAATTTCTAATGTAGATTTACTGTGATCTGCTGTAGCGACTGCATTAGGACTTGAGGCATGGAGTCCAGTTTGCTGTTCTGGAACCAGCATCCTCGGGTCTGCTCCATCTTCTCTGGTACCAATAGAATGAGCTTTTTTACGCATGGCAGGTGACATAGGCGTGGTGCTGTCATCATAGGTCAGCTCGTCACCACCAATGTGGTATTTGTACATGCTGTAGCCATCAGAGCTGTTGACACTGCTCTGCCTCAGGAGATAGGCAGCATCACACTCTGACGAAGCCCGCGAGCGCGTGTACGTCAGCTCGGATTTGTCGATGCCCGCCAGCTTCTCCAGAGCATTCACCATCCGGCCGGAGAGCTCCTCCAGCTGAGACAGCCGCAGGTCGACTGTCTGGAGAGAAGCTTTCATAAAATGTTCCCTTTCATTCACTTCTTCTAGCCTCATAGACATATTTTCAACTCTGTGGAGTATAAGAAAGGAAGCAGAGAACAGAACCTGTAGAATGGTGCAATAACCCATTACAGGCACCCAGCTCCTGATCTCTTCCTAAGGCAGAATTTTGTGGCGTGTATCATGCTTTGTTCTTTTTTCCTATGGGTAGCACACAAAAGAACAAGCATTTTCTTGTTATCTATGTTTTCTGTACACCATATTAGAGGGGTATTTGAACTTTGCCCTTATATTCATGGCAGGAGAGACCTTAGGGACTACGATTAACATTTCTGCGTGTGCCACCCACTGTGTGCTCAGTTGTTCTCTTTCATTGTGAGGCATCAAATTAATTACATGAAAAGTACTTTCTAATGACATGCTCAGAGTGACTTAAAATAGCATCAAAGCATGTTGTAAAACAGGTTCTGCAGCTGTATGAGACAGAAACATATACTGGTGTTGATGGGATTGCTGTTTTTCTTGAAATTCCTTTCTATTTTGTATCAGTTGAAGGGAGTGGAACAATTGTTGAGTTCAATTAAAATAATACTTTTCCCCATTTTCTTCTTGTCATTTATATCATAATGGATGTGATGGTACTAGAAAAATGCATATAAAAAGTAATTAACTGGATGTGGCTTAGAAATCATATACTAATAAATCTACTGTGGAAAATAAATTAATGCTTTCTTGCTCCCATACACAAAAGATGACGAAGCATCTGGAACAAGAAGCCATGAGAAATAAGCAAATCTGCTTTGTGGCCATATACTGTAGTGAATCATTGAGGCTTATCAGCCCTGCTTTATTCTCTGCCACAATACCCAGGAACTTGACAAATTGCCACGGATAACCAGTGTGATAGAATATATGTAGCAGGTTTAATTTACTTCTCTATTCTCAAATTTAAAATATAACAATGCAAAATATTCAGGGCCTCTCTCAAGAGATAGAATTGTATCTATTAAAGAATTACATCGCTCACAGAACGAATTCATAACAAATGTTAAAATGAAGATACAAATAGGTATATAGATAAATAGTATGTGAAGTACTTAATCAACAGAATACTGTGGGATAGATTAAGGTGAAAGAGTGTTTAAAATGTGTATGATTTTCATTACAGGGAGAATTTTTCTTCATTTAAAGGAAGTGACAAAAGACCCCATCTCTTGACTTTCTCACGTCTACTGACAGAATAGGCAGAGCCTTTGAGAACAGTGCTGCCAAATGATCTGGTAAAAAAGGCTGCTGCCTTTAGCACTGTGTGCTTACACACCAATGTGCAAATATTACCTAGTTTTCAGAGCAAGCATAATGATTAACATGATAATATTCCCCATCTTTTAAATGGGAAAGTTCATACTGAAAAGCTAAATGCCTTGTTCAAAGCCTGCAAGAGAATCTGTGGCAGAGATTAAAATTCAGCAGTTGTGAGCGCCAGACTCTCATGGAAACCACAGGTCCAAGGGAAGAAGCCTCAGTGCTTTTGTCATTAAGCTCCAACATGTTTCTCATGGTTGGATGAACTGTTGGAAGCTCAACAAGCAGCAATTTTCTCAAATGGATATAAAGCATCACTGTGATCCTCAGATGGATACGAGGTATAAAATTCATCATAAGCAAAGATGTTCTTGTAATAAAGCTACCCAAACCAGCAGATTTAGTGACATAACAGAAGGAATAACAAGAAGTTTGCTCTTTTGAGAGATGCACCTGCTCAGATAGTTATTTGGGATTCAGATCAGCTTCTGAGCTGGTGGTGGTTTTCTTCTAGATCAAAATCTTTTGTATTTTCACTCAACCATGGGTATAAAGAAGATATTAAAAAGACTGCTCCTGACAAATGGAGTGGATTTTTTTGCTACAATAGGTACCTTTCAGAAGTAACTCTGATGCGTTCATCGTTAGATGACTGCTGCTCATCCTCTTTCTCCTGGAAGTATTCTTCTACACATTGCTCTTCAAACTCATAGAGTTTTTTTAACTCTTCATCATTCAGAAACAACTCTGTGCAAAAGAGAAGAACAAAAGAGGAATTTTCTTTTTCTGAATTTCTGGCAGACAATTTAAATCCAAATTAGCAGTTTATTCTGGACATGGACATACTGCAGATTCTACTCCTGCACTAAATGAACAGATGATTTTTTTTAAAATAAGCAACAAGCACTTAGCTAAAGATGGGCAGAGCTGTGAAGGCAATGGAATGCATTATATGAACATCATCTACTTCCATGGCCATCCACAGGGAGCTCAATGTTCTGAATGACTTTGACATGGTTTAACTGCTGTGCGTTGAACAAATTGACCAGATTTTACCAGATAAAGACCTGGGCAATCTCTACCAGTTTGACTGTTCCTTAATTCAAGTTATTCTTAAAAGGATGAACCTTATAGGCAACAGATAAACTTAACAGATTGTTCACAGATATTCTTTGGATAAGATGTTAAGAGATTTCTAATCACATAAGAAAAATCCAAGGGGAATTTTGGGAACAATTCATCCTTTATCTGGATTTGTCTCTTTGCATTTGGAAGGAGTGTTACATTTCCTTTTTTCCTTTTCCTATTGTGCAAAAACATTTCCTGTGAAATGTAGAACTAGAGGGATTTTGTGAGCCTCTGATTATTTCCATGAAGCATATAATGAAAATCCCAATTAACAGCTACATAGTGTGCTAGGAGAAGAATCCTCACAGTTCCCCTGCAAAATGACAGATACATCTCTAAATGATAGTGGGGATCCTCGCAGTCACAGATTGCTCACAATCACAGAGCTGACACTATAGGTGACATTTGAAACTGTATCCCTTCTGAAATTCCTATTTGCCCCTCCCAACACATGGGCTTCACCAAAACTTGGTAAACCCCTGAACTGAGTAGATACCATCTCAATGTTTTAAGACAGCATGTTAAAGGAGGTCTTTATCAGCATCTGAGAGTAGCAGAGCCCAAAGAGCCCAAGAGCTTTTAACTTGATACAAATATTGGCCCACACTGTCTTCTGCAAATACACTTGATGGGCAAGGTGAACAAAACAGTTCAGTGTTGTAGAAGCTGCTGTTTTCTGCTAATATGGTGCACAGAGCTCAATTTAGAGAAGATTTCTTGCATACTCAGTCCCCTGTCACGCTCGTCCTGGTCTCCATCACCCTTCCTGCAGCGGCAGCAGATCCGCTTGATGATGATGTAGATGTGGCTGAAGATAATCATTGGTGGTGGCAGGACAGGTCTGTCATGGAATGTCATGATCAGCTGGTACCGCTGGAACTTCCAGACTTGGTTGGATATTGATTTTACCTCAAAGAAGGTATTGCTGAAAGGAAACAGAGGTACAGTTTCTACGAGGTCCCTAATCTTACTTCTCATTAGAGCAAGTACTATGTTGAAAAAAGCAGCAGCTAAATAACCTCATGGAGCCACATGATTTGGTTGGTTCAGCTCTTTGTTGGTGCTACTGAGCTAAGGATTAAATTGAACTCATGATTTCACTACTCCTTTTGAAGGTAGCAAACAGCAGGTGCTCTGCATCCCTCAGGCACCACTCAGAACAGTCCTCTCAGACCATTTGCTCCTACTGTACAAATCCCCTAGGTGCCAGTGAAAAGAAACTCACACAATTTATGCATCACATAATTGGTATTTTGGGGCTTGGTTATAAACTATTTCTTTTAACACATGCCAGTATTTGATGCTACACAAAGCATTAAATCCATGAAAAGTATTTTGTATGCTAAACTCAGAAGCTTCACATAGTATGCCTTTAATATGCTAATCAGCTTGACCTACATAGAAGACTTTTCAAGTTTTCTCAGAATGTCCTCAATTCAAACTTTACTCCCTCAAACTTCTGATTCGAAAACATGGTGCATATGCTTGTGAAGGAATTTATTCTTGGAAGCTTCTTCATTTTTACAGCAAAGTAAGGTGTGTTTTAAAGATGTTTAATTTTGAAATTCAGTTGATATAAAGTGATAGTAGTCAATCCAGAGATAACAATAGTCACAGTTATGAAATACCAACTAAGAGAAAGCAGACTTGATATTCTGTCTTAGAAAAGGCTTTTCAAGCTATTTTAAAGTATCGTCAGACAGCTCCGCTTCTATGATGGTGATGGTACTGGAACTTCCTTTTTATATATTCTGTCCATTTATTTCCTAATTTTATGTGCTTTAGAATATCTACATTCATAAAACCAGTTAAAACATCTCTTTGAAAACAAAGAATTCCTATGTGCACATAGATTTTACTTTCTTTAGGTTAAGTCTACATGAGACTATGACCAATGATAAATAACAATCTGTCTTCATTCTGCGTCTTCTTTATAGCAGAATTTCCCCAGCTAGATCTCAACCCTGTGCAAGCAGGCTGGGATGGGAGGAGTTAACAGCATGACCTACTTCCCAAACTGCTGATTCCTTGGTCCTTAAGCCAATAATAGCTACCATTGTAAGATTCTTCCCCTTCTCCCCAGCTATGTGACTGGCATTTGAGTACTTTAAATTCATGACCTTTTAAGCCACATACATCAAATGAAAGACAGGCTTTGTGAGCTGCAGATTTCTGGGCACACCAAGTACTATTTTTTGCATTTGTGACACAAGTTTACAGCGACGAACCCTCCAACACTACGTGTATGAAGAAAAATGGATCACCTGCTTTTCTCAGGTACTCTGTTCAGAAAGTATTGTCAGCAAGTCATTATTTTTTTAATCCCTACATCATGAGAGGAAAAGCACGCAACCTAACTGCAGGTAGGAAGAACAAGAAGCAGTAATTTATTTAGTTTTACTCCAGATAAGTCTAAATATAGATATGTGCATACTGCACGCTGCTTAGATTGGCCACAGACCTTGGCAACACACAGCCATCCCTCCCTGATGGTTCAAGGCAACACAGACTATTTTTTAGGTCATGAAAGGACTCTGCAAGGCCCTAATTTCTTTTTCTAAATGGAAAACAAAACAAGACAAAAGCCAGATGATGTAGTGGAAATGCCTCAGGCTTTTGACGTTCAGTTTTGTTCTGCTGTTCTCCCGCAGAGCTGTGACTGCCAGCGGCTACACGGGTTTCTGTCAGGTGCGTGCCAGGTCTCATGGATCCTATTCCTCATCTTTCCAGAGCAACCTTGAGGCCTGTCACTATCCATTAGAAGGTAACTGGAAGTAGCCAGGTTCTCTCACATCCATTGCTGCAATCGTTGGCAAATTCAAAGCCACCTTTCCTCACTCTTCTCCAGGGTACACCCTGCTGCCAGTATTTGCCAGTCACATCCATGGAATAATGAGATTCTCTGGGAATGCAAACCCTTGCAGAATCAGTTGATGGGCTCAAACAGAAACTTTATCTTGACAATAAGACAAAGATGCATGATCGTTTACATACTTGAAGACAGCAATCAGCAGGTTTACCAACAGGATATTTGCTACCAAAAGGTAGCAGGCCATAATAGCAGGAGTGAGCCAGGCCCCTGGGATGCACGGAGGGAGGCGTTTACCATCATCATCATAAAGATTGTCCCCACAAGGAGCTAAAGGAAAAACAAGAAAGGTGTTTTTCACAAATTGCCTGATACTTAGAAATACTATTCATATTTATTTAATGATGACACATGCATAAACATTGCCAAATTTTGTCAGTTTATTTCCAGGTGCAAGTATGCGTAATTTCTACTTCAAATTCTGCTTCCATATTAGTGAACAGAAAGGCAACTTCTTACTGTACAGTGTGGCTTTCTAATCACATTCCCATGGATTTTCTTTTTCTCACAATAACAGTCAAATACCAGATCTTGAAGTGTACACTTACATATTAATAGTGGAATTACAAACAAATTATTAAACCTAGCTTAAATGCAACATTTATGGGGGCCCAGAGTATTGAAGAGGCCTTTAAAGGCCCTGACCAGCTTCACTGGGGGTTTACACCTACACCCCCTATGCACACCTGTCCCTGCCTAAGCTATATCTCACCTCTGCCTCCAGGATGGACCTTGAACCAGTGTTAGTTCCCTTCTCTCTCTGGCCCTGTCTCTTTTTGCCCCTTACTGGATTCCCTAGATGGAGCCCAGCCAATTACTTGATCTGTCTGGGGCTGTTAATGCTACCAGCAGGTTAATGCTACCAAAAAGATCTAATTCTAAAATGAAAATCATATAGTAACAGCAAAATAAGACTACTGAGAATGGGACAAAAATTGAGAATATTGATCAAACCAACATAAAATAATTGTCTGAAGTTATTCTAAGTTACATAAGTTGTCTTGGGTAAGAGCTGTCTTGGAGTTGGGTAAATGCAGCAGTTTTGTTCTGTCTGTAAGTGCAGTGACAATATATCTGATTTCAAATACAAGGCTAACTTTTGGAACAATTTAGCAGCAGGAAAAGTTTCCACCAGTTCCTTAGCTGTAATCTAAGCAAATGTGAAGTCTGACAGAGTTCATAACAGATTTAGTTTATGTGAATAGTATTTTTAAACATTTTGCATAATAGTATTCTTAAACATTTTGCAAAAACCACAATGCTTCAAACTCACTTGAAAAAACTTCAAAATATTTGAAAATAAACTAACTTATTTACTGAGGTCTTGAAGAGCTGTCTGGACTGTAATTAAAAACTTTCATTTTACTTGCTTTTCAGACATCAGACCTAAAGTTTTCCTAAGAGAAAAGTGGTATTCAAATGGACCAATGAAAATACTGCCAAAACCACAGTAATATTGTATCTAGATAATTAAAGGGAATTAGTTGTACAATGCCACTTATGCATAATAATTTAAAAATCCCAATTATGTTAATGTTGGTGCACTAGCAACAACTTCAACTCAGTTAAAACTTCTGATCTGTATTTTGTATTAAAGTATTTTCCGCTGCTTATTTTTGAATGAAACTATTACGGTAGTAGAACAACATTTACACCTGAATATTGCATGAGTGCTGTAATTAAAATATGAGTAACTAGTCAAGAAAAACATTAGTGAACATATTCAGCTAAATGAGATAATCAGCTCTCCCCAGAGACTTACGATTTATTTCCATGGCATAGACTGAACACCAGTCCAAAGGAATGGAATAGAAAGGAGGCAGGGAGAGAAAAAAGAAAACAACACAATAATAAACAGAATCCAAAAAAAGATTATTGGAAATACAGTTCTGCTGCCAAGAAAAGATAAGCAACTCAAATGTCAGAACAGTAGAGACATATGCTGAGAAAAAACGTCTTTGTTAAAAATGCATTGCATTCTGCAATTTCCTTTTCATGCTGTTTTCCCCAAATGTTACATATGGCAGCAAACTAGTGATAATAATATAGCACAAAATGCTTCTGGCAGATGATCATTTAAATATACATGATATTTCTGGCAAGTAAACAAAACTGGCCATCAACACAAAGCAACTCAAAATTATCACACAAAAATCATTCTTTCAGCTATTATGGAAACATTTT